ATTGAGCTTCTCATCAAGCTCATATGGAGATATGAAAGAGAACTTACTTTCTTTATCAGTACCATGCAAGTAGGCGTCACACAAATACCTTATAATATAATTGAAGGTCAACAATGAATTAAGTCCAATATATATTAAGATAAAGTAACTAACCTAAACAAATAGAAATTAAGTATTTATTATTACCTGATGTACAAGCAAATGCTAGAGGCACTTAGCCACTCACGATGGATAACCTCTAGTATGTTCTCCTTCCCCACAACATCATAAAACTCCTTTCCCCAATACTTCTCAGGTAATTGAATATTAGCATATTCAATTGCTTGATCACTCCTAACAAATAGCTTCATCATGTCTAAGCATGCACCACCTTGAGCCAAAGCCATGTCACTAAGTTCTGATGAAGACACAACATCCTTTTTCTGTGGACCAACAATTGATTCCTTTGTGTGACTTGTTTCTATTTCCTTGCCCTTAGTGGATGCTACTTGAACCTAAAATTAATCATGTAAATTTTCAATTAACTATGACTAAATCAAAGTTAAATGTGTAATTGGTGTAATAAATGAATTGCAATACCTTTGGTCGTAAAGTGATTAATGACAAAGGCCAAGCAACATAGGTCCCAATAGCATCTCTTAGGCATGATAAGGATGCTTCTTCAACTGGAATGGACAATGTTGTGTCTTCTTCGTGACGCTGCACTACCTCTATCAAGACCTTTGTATGGTCTGGAGGAAGGGGTCGTGACGTTGCACTACCTCTTAGGCATGAATTAAGAATATATATATATATATATATATATATATATATATATATATAATAATAATAATAATAATAATCATTATAAAAATAAGTAAACATAACATAAATGAAAAATTATTATCCTACATGATAATGTAAAATTAGGTTTTGTACGGAGTGAGCTGTAATTTGTAATCATAGTGTATTTTTCATCACAATATGAAATTATAAGGTGTTTAAAAATAAATAAATGCTTTAGTAATTATAAATTTTATTTAATAAATTCTTAGTAAATACATATTGTTAATGTATAGCTAAATGGGTATACACATTTTTCTTCTGTAAAACAAAATTAAGAAATGAAATAATCTTCAAATTAATTCAAAGAGTTACTAATTCATAACTCAACAATATTTACAAATATCTTATGATATGCCTTTTATGTTATGATATGCATGCTAATAAGGAAAGAAATTGTGAAAAAAAGGAAAAATATATTTATTAGTATTAAAAATACTTGTTTTAAAAAATAATAGATAAACAAATTAAATTAAGGAATTATTTTAATTTAGTTTTGTTTTTAATTTTAAAAATCATTTTAAAAAATAAGTTAAATATTTTTTAATAATTTTATTTTTAAACTATTTTGAATAAAAGAAAATAATATAGATTATCACGAAAAGTCGTGACAAAAATTAAAAATAATTTTCATAATTTTGTAAATATGAAAATAGTGATTTAATGTTATTATTAGTGAAAACATTGATATTTGTTTGCCTAAATATGATCAAATATACTAAACATTAATATCGTAATAATAATTAGAGAAAACTTAGATTATATTTTCGGTGAGAATTAACAATTTTAGATTTAATTTCACTTTTAAAAATTATAAAAGGGAGGTGTTATAGATTGTGATATGAAAAATAATAAATGAAATAAAATAAATCTATAATCCTAAGTGAAAACGGTAAACTTAAGAAAAAGAAATTAAAGTCAAAGCCATAAACTTTGACACTAATAATAAAATATTAAAAGTACATAGAAAATAATAAAAAATATTAATGAGAAACCAATGTAAACATTAAACCTATAAATACATATAGTAAATTTTATAAATAATTATAAATTGTATTGGTTATTGTATAATCATAAACTTGTTTTTTTTTTTAATTATCATTGATTTTTATCTCAATCTAACCATAGAATAAATTCATAAAAAAATTTAAATATTATGTCTTTTTATATTTTTCAAGTTTATATATACAATATCCAAAATAATAGTCGAAGATTAAAAAAAGACTCGTAATAAATTAATTACATTATTTACAAATTTTCGATATTTTTATAAAAGTGGCTATGCAACATTTTTCACTCAGAAAGAGTCATTTTCTTATTAAGTGAAATTTTAGTTAAATTAGTTTCGTAAAATTTTACATTTTACTCTATGTATTGTTTCTTCGCTAAGAAAATTGTGTTATAATGAAGGAAATTCAATAACCAATATATATTTTTTAATTTATCATTTTTACACTAATATAAAAATAATTAGTTAAAATATATCATTTAATCAATAAATTTAATACAAAATTATATTAAAAATAGATAATTAAATAAAATATTTTTATATTAATAAAATATATTTACCAAATTAAAAAAAACACATATTTTATCAAATTTGATTTTTAATTTTTAAAAACTAAAAGACAAAAATAATTTTTAAATTTATCAAGCAATTTATTTAATTTTAAAAATTAATTATTAAAAAAATAAACAAAAATTCTTAAATATATGTAAAATAACAAAATTACTTATATAATTATTGATTATGAATGAAATAAATTTTTAAATTATCACTTTTAAATTCAGATTTTTTTTCAATAATATATATTTCATATATATATATATATATAATATTTTTTTGTACAAAATTATATTTTTTTAAATATTAGTTTGAATTAATAAAATAATATCTATTATTAAAAAGTATATTAAATTATTTAATTAATTTTTTATAATAACTTCATATTTATCATAGTTTATCCATATAATATATATATGAGAATGATATTGGAGAGAAGATAATGTTAAGTATCATCCATATTTCACTCTTGATTCTGTTTTTGAGTAAAAAATAAAATACAATGAAAAAGAACATATTTTTAGCTCTTTTTTTATTATCAAGTAAGAAAAAAATTTCCTTTTTATTTTTTTTCCTATATTAATTACTGTCTACTTTGTATTTGTTATGCATATACGAACCAAAATACAAATGAAGACCACATTTTATTTCTACGTGAGACCTGTAATATTGAGCATAACTAACAATATGTTTAATATATAACTCTTTGTTTAACTTTCAACTATTTATGGTTTTCATTTCACCTGTATACTTTTAGTGATGATATATGAATTATTATCATTTTTACTGTGATGACATGTCCTGATTTCATAGTGTATACGTCAATTTTTTACTTAAAAAATATATGTAAAAAAGTATCAGTATATTAATTATTGTAAAAAAAATTCCAAATTCCAATATGATATAAATATATATATATATACACCGTAAAATGATAAAACAGTTATAAAATATTATTACTCAAAAGATTTACAGTGTTTCATTTCAACTACTAAATTATATATTTGTTATTAGCAGTGACATTTTTTATTGTTAGGTGATGATGCTACATGAAGTTAAACGTTGATTTCTCCAAAGTTTCTCCAAGCATGCAAGAAGCATATATACTTGGATATGTATTTATCTATTGATGCATTAATTCTTGGATTTTGTTTGTTCAGTTTACTTGCATTACAGTCGTATGTATTAGATATTAGAAGAGAAAGTGAGACAGATTATGGAAAGATAAAAACAAAAACAACTTGTCAAAATGCTCCGCACCTACGACCTTTCTCATGACTTTTATCTTCCTTCTTCAAAAAAAGCATCAACGAGACAAAGAATTTTGTTTTACGAGAGGCCACTTGTCAAACCCGTAAAGCTTTCACACTTAATATTGAGATTTTCTTTTAAATATAACTAATATTTAGAAGAGTTTTTTCCAATAATTTATTACCTAACACTAAAATATTAAGTAGTTTAGGTGAATACAAGTAAATACTTTATTATTTTTATTTATATCTATATAATTAAAAGGTATGACAAAATTATATTAAGAGTAAAAATTATTTCACATGTTATTAATTGTTAGACAGATGAGGAAAAATTTTAGATGAGATAAAATATATATATATATATATATATATATTAAAATTAATTATGATATAAAAATAAATATATTATAAAATTATTAATTTTTTATGTATATTTAATATTGATATATAATAAATATGTATGAAATTAAATATATTTTAATTATATTTGACGATATTTTATATTATAAAAAATTAATTATTATATATATATATATATATATATTATAAGTTGCTCAATAATATTTTTAATATTGTTCCTTAAATTTAAATTTGATATTATATCTTTTTTTTTAAAATGAGTCTAAAAGTTTTTTCTTGGAGATATGTAAATCTCAACCTAACTTTTTTTGCATGTGAACATCAAAATTAAGTATTATAAACCATTAAAACATCTAATTAATTGATTATAAATAATACACATGATAATATGTTATAATAGTGAATAAAAAGCAATAAAAAAAGTAAACTTACATACTTTAAATAAAAAAAGTGAAAATTAAAGAGAAATTTATGATTTTTATGTTCTAAGATGAAATCATGAAAGAGAAAGGTATGGTAGTTGAAACATGACAGAGAAAAATATAAAAATATAAAAGTAAAAAGATAAATATTTTGAATTGAAGTAAAGAAAGAGAAAAGGTAGGAGAGAAAAAAAATAAAAATGTAAATATAAAAGGATAAGAGAGAGAACATATGCAAGGGAGAAATGTATGGGAAAAAAATATTATTTATTATAAAGGTTAATTATATTTTGGGTCTTTGTATTATCCTAGTTTTTTTATTTTTAGTCCCTAATGTAAGGTTTGGATACATTTGGTCCCTAGGTTCCAATAAATATTGGAAATGGTCCTTACTTCCTAAGATAGTTAACGGGTAATTTACGTGACTAACAAAGTTCCACCATGGACTAACATACAAATAATAGTATCATTTTAATTAAAATATCATTTTCTTTTTGTGAAACTAAGTTCCATTATGTCATTTAGATTTTGCCATTATAAATAATTGTCGATCAATGTTAAAGACAGAGGAGACTTGTGATGAAGGATGTTGATACTTGTACGACTGAAGAGGGTGGTGGATTTGGAAATGAGGGTGTTGTAGGTGGAAGTGAGAATTGTGAGGGTGATGACGAAGTTGGGATGGAGGTTGGTGGTGAGAGTGTTGTTGAGGGTGAGAATGTAATGGATGGCGTGGAGAGTGAGACTATAATGGATAATGTCGAGGCTAAAGCTGATATGAATGGTGTTGAAGATGAAACTATTATAAATGGTTTGGAGGATGGTGTCGAGAGTGACATAATGGATGATGTTGAGGGTGAAGTTGTAATGGATGATGTAAAAGTTGACAATAAAGTGGGTGATATTTAGTTTGGTGACAGTGAAGAAGAAAGAAAAACATCTTGAGATGATGGGTTGAGTGGATGATAACTCACATAAAAATGTAAATAATATACTAAAATATGACACAATTTGCTATAAAGCGGGAAACAATGAATGAGAAAAATAGAGTGATGAAGGTTATGAAAAAACACATACGGTTGACATTCATGAAATAATTGAAGAGTATGCTAGTGAAGAATTATTATGGATGTGGGTGATAATGATTAGGAGAAATTTTCAAAGTTTAGATTTAAAGACTTATTCACGAGCTTTAAATTCAAGTTTGGAATGAAATTTTCATCTTTGAAGGTGATGTGTATCATTTTGCTATTTATTTCTTGATCTAAGAGTATTTTCTAAGCTAGTTATTCTATTCATAAACTATGCATTTAACATATTTTTAATTAAAAACATAACATAATTCAGTTTTTCTTAATTTGTTGCATTTTACATAGTTTTAGCATAAATAATATACATGAATACATACACATTGCATATTTCTTTTTCTTCTTTTGTAGGAGAAGTAATTTGAGATGGATCAAAGTGATTGAAAGAAATGTCCAAATTGAAGCCGTAAAGCTTCACTCTTCTTAGAAGCCCAAGTTTGCTTATGCAGCCCACTTGCAGAACGTTACAAATGAAAATTTTGAATCAAGCAAATTAATTGGTGTGGGAATCCAATCTAGTTGAATTATAGGCCAGCCGAAATTAAGAATTAAATGCAAACCAGTGCTGTATCACTAAAAATAGGAAAGAAGCAGACTATTTTCTCCAAATTAGTCCCAGAAAATTCTCTTCACAGCAATCAGATTTTGCAATCATTTATTTGAGAAATATTTATTTTTATTGTAATTAATTTTAGGCTTAATTTCTCTTATTCAAACCCTTATAAATAGAGGTCTTACGACAACCACAATCATAATCTCCTGGTCTGGGGTGAGAGTTATTATTTTGTCTCGTCCCCAGTTTCTTTTCCTACTCTCAGTTCGTAGTTTAGTTTTTGGTTAGGTGAGTTCATCTATTACTACTTGTTGAATATTTGGCAAGCGTACCAATATTATCAATTGCAGTATAGTATTTTGATTAAATAAAAATCGATCCCATGAGAAACGATTTCACTGGAAATTCCAAATCGTAAGCTTACTAAGTGGATTAACACAAAACTAGTTTTTCATAAAGATTTAGGTTGAAAAAAAAAATAGCAAAGAAATGTAAAGTGTTTTTAGAAAAGATCAAATAAAATAACTTAGGATTGGTTTAATTCTTTTTCCCTCTTTTGTATTATGGCTAGGTCAAATTAAGAACATCAATTAACTTATCAATGTTGATGCCATCTACTTAAATCATTCACATTGATTCTTCACACATGAAATTCATAAGAAAACCTAATAAACATTGATTCCTCATACAATTAATAGATTTTCTAGCATTACTTTTAAGATGTTAAGCAATTGATACATCCATTACCATTCCTAGCAATTGACGTAACAAATATTCTTAACCTGATCTAGGGTTTCAAGATATATATTCCAATACATCCCAAACATCAAAGATAAACATTAAAGACCACAAATGATAAAAATATCAACATCAAGAACATATATCAAAATATCACCAAGATACAAAAGAGTTCAAAGGAAGTGCACTAAATCCTAAGAGAATGAAGTTAACCACTCATGATGACCATTACAATGATCCAATGAAGAAAAATTAAAAAAGAATTGAAGATTGAACGAAAACTGGAGTAGATGTCGCCTCTCTTCTCAAAATCTCGAACTTTCTTTCTCAAAACGCATCTTATCTTTTTATAGAAAATTTCGCATCATTCGCTCAAGCGAGTAATGCTGATTTTCGTTCAAGCGAGATTTTTAATGTATTTTCGCTCAAGCGAGCGTCTACCTCGCTCAAGCGAATCTTAGGCTGAAAATCTTCTTCCCTTTTTCCACTTTTTCTTCAATTAACTTGAGAATTATAATCCTTGTTCTTATACCTAGATATTCTTCAAATTCATCCTATATTGGGAGAAAAATATATTAGAATCAACATAATTCAAGTGATTAAATAATAATTCAAAGCATAATTACATAAATTTTTGCCACTTAACACTACTACATTTCTGGTTTGTTCTCTTTTATTTAATTTGAAATTTCTATTGAATTTTCCAGTTTATCTTACTTTAGTTATTTTATTTATTCAGTGCTCATTTTAATTTCTACTATTTAATTGTTTTTATTCTAGTATTGCATAATTTTCATTTTTAATTTGTCTCGTTTCCAATTCCAATTCGCAATTTAGTTTTAGAGTTATTGCTTTCAGAAATTTCAAATTTAATTACTTCACTATTTTATTTCAAAGCAATTATTGATTCCTGCACTTTTAATTAAACACACTTTATTTTAATTTTATGAATTTCAATTATTTAAATTCTGTTTCTGTTTAATTTTAATTGTCATCAATATTCTATAGCAAATTGATTTTAATTTTTATTATTCTGCATCAATTTATTTCTTTTTCACCCATTCATTCATCTCCTATTTACTGTTTTAGAGAGAATGATACGTGATAATGAATATGTTCTTATAATTGTGTTATTATGAGATTCGAATCGGGTTAACTATACTGCATTAGTTTAGCAACTTGTTTATTATTTTTTATCAGTATTTTGTGCGATCAGAATGCTGTTATCACTTCAAACAAGCAATTAGAGAACATTCTATGTTCAATGAGACACAAGTCAAATTTGAGAAAAATAATCATGTTAAAGTTAGGATTATTTGTAGTAAAAGGTGTGAATTTGTGATGTCAATTAGCAAGGTTAATAACAATCATATATACATTTAGAGTTAAAACACTTATGTGATGATTTTCATAATAGTTATACTACTTAAACATAACATGGTGAATTATATTTATTAATTGTAAATGAATATGATAATTTAGTTTATTCAACCATGATGATCATTTATGAAATATGATTCTTAACCATGGAGTAGGTCTTTTGCTCAAGTATATGTGTACGAAGATATGTATAACAATGCAAAAACTTCCTATATTCTAATTCAACTATGTTTATCTTCTTTAATCTATCATATCTAATTTAGTTAAATGTCTATTTTCTTTTATCTAGCACATACAAGGATAACTCCATCAAGAATTGATATGGAATCTGTTGGTGACATTTTTAACCGTTGTTAAAATTGCATCATAAATATACTAATTAGAATCGAATTGATTTGTTGGTAATTGAAGCACGCTTTCACCGCATTGCAAGTGCCTTTGGAAAATGAAGACCAAGAGTTTCAACTTTCAAGAAAAACAAAATCTCACTTTCGTCCATTTTAATTTTAGGGTCAAATTACATTGCAAATTTCCAATTTGATTTTTAGTATACTGAGACAGTCTTGTAAAAAACGGGGTTGACTTTAGAATTTTTCTTGATTTTTTTCATTACACAAATATTTATATTCTCTCTTGTTTCCTTTTATGTTTTGAAGTCATAAACAACTACAAATTGTTATCCTGTATAATATTAATGTGTAATTCTTTCAATTTTAATCACTACAAAAAAAATGTCTATTACCTACGGCAAAAATCCGTAGGTAATGGCAAAAATCCGTAGGTAATGTCATTTTACCTACGGATTTTTTTCCGTAGAAAATCCGTAGGTAATATGGTCGTAGGTAATTACCTACGGAATTACTATCCGTAGGTAATGTCGTCCGTGGGTAATTACCTACGGATTCTGTTCGTGGTAATTACCTACGGATTGCAATCCGTAGGTAAATACCACGAACGAATCCGTAGGTAAGTACCTACGATTGCAATCCGTAGGTAAATACCCACGAACGTAATCCGTAGGTAAATACCTACGGATTGCAATCCGTAGGTAAATACCCACGAACGAATCCGTAGGTAATTACCTACTGATTGCAATCCGTAGGTATTACCTCATTCAAAATCCGTAGGTAAATCCGTAGGAAAATCACTAAGTAAATTTATAAAATTTTATCACCACCAATTTAACTAAATTTTACCCGTTACATGCATATTACACATAAAATATTTAGATATCAAATTTAACAATATTCCATAATATTTATATGCACCAAATGCATATTCGGATATCAAACACAAATCCTAATATTAGCATGCATATTACACAAAATATTTAGATATCAAATTTAACAATATTCCATAATATTTATATGCACCAAATGCATATTCAGATATCAAACACAAATCCTAATATTAGCATGCATCAAGTAGTGCTTCAAATATCTAAGAACATACAAATCCAAAGAAGTACTATAATAAATATTATGACAATATTGTTTGAGTGTCCTAATAATTATAGTAATGTCCTTGTTCATCTTGAGGCTGCTCTACGAAAGCTGGTTCATTTTGTGATTGTTGTTGCTGCTCTTCCTGCACTTGCTGCTCCTGTTGTGATTGTTGTTGTGATTGTTGTTGTGATCCTTGTTGGGAATGTTGTTGTTGAAATGCTTGTCGGGCATCAGGTGGAAGTAAAGGAAGGACAACACTGACAAGTGTTTGTAATTGGTGGTTCAATCTTTCATTATCCTCCCTATAACTAAGCACTTGTTTCTTTAATTGTGTAATCTCACGAGAATCAGTACATGCTGAATATGAGAGGGTATCTCCGGGCCTAAACTTATGGGCAAGTTCTCCAACACCGTAGATCCGACCCTTTTTGTTGCTAGATGCAGCAAGAATCCAACTTTCAGTCCTTATTCTCTCCTCCTCTATAGGATCTAATGAAGATGACTTCGGTTTCAGCGAGCACAGGATGCCGCCTCGGATCTAGCCTCGAGTATCTTCTCCGAAATTCTTCCTATTCACATACAAATAAAAATTATGTACGATATACAACACATATCCATCATAACATATAAGAGAGTAATAGAGTAATATTAAATAAGTTCACAACTCACATGAGTTTTTCTAGACCTTTCATCAACAAATTCACCATTAACCTTTCGTATATGAGTCCTGTTTGAACACCTCATCAATATGTGCAGGACGACCCAACTCCTTTTCCTGGAAAAAAAATTAATTAATAACATATCATGAAGAAATGAAAGAAAGAAACTTTTGTTATAATTTCATATTTACCATACGAATGGCGTGTTCATGCATACTAATAGAACCACTCGTGTGTAAACTACCACCCGTCTCGGAAGATCGATTCTTCTGAGCTTGTGCACACTTTGCACGATAATCAATTGAGTTCCACTTGTTCAACAGAGTTTTCCACACATCATCAAACATCCAATAGGGCTTTTGACCTGTCCTTCTAGCATCTTTGAACATTTCAGATAGCCTATGTGAGGCCTTTGAGTGAAAATTCTTTCGAATCCTATCCTCATCTTCAGGTCTCCAGGTGACCTTTCTCTTTGCAAAATGATTTACACAAAAAAACAAATAATAATAATTGTGTCAATGAATGTAAGTAATAAAAATAATTCATCAACCTAAATATAAGAAAACTTACTTTAAATCGTTGAAAGAATGTCTCTTTTTCAACATCGGTCATTGAACCCCATGTCAGCCATGGCTTAGAATATTGTTGCTTAATAGTCATTGTTATAGCTTGTGATGCAACCCGACATGGATGGAACCTTCTCCAAATAATTAAATTAAATAATAATCACAATTTCCTAATACTTGCAAATAATGGGAATGATATAATTTTAACTTCATTCTTACCCTAGACCATAAGGTGATATGATAGGAAGATTAGTGCCAAGTGGATGATCCTCGTCAATGTCCGATTGTGCATCACCTTGCTGAATATGCACTTCTTGGTCTTCCCTAGCTGGTGTATGATCGGACTCTAGAAGGCACTGATAATGGTGATAGTGCTGGAGACCTTGAGGGTAATGTAGGTGAGACCAAAGGTAGTGGTGATGGTACTGATGATACTGAAGGCAATGTAGCTCCTGGGGAAGGTGCTGATGCAATGACAGGTGATGGACTAGGGTTGGGTGCATCAACTGGGGATGGGGCAGAAGTGGCTGTAGGTGCAATATTGTTTGTATGGGCATGTATATTCTCAGCACCTGCAGCTGAAGAAGGTATAGGTGCAGGAGCTACGGGTGGGGGAGGGACATTTACTTTAAGTATATAGCGTGGTTTTTTTCGTTTCGTTACTTTTTTCCCCTTATTGGAATGAGGCATGGGAGGTTGGGGTGAGTCACATCCTCCTGATGACATATCTATACATAGGAAATTTATATAGTCAATTATGCAATGGAGTAAATGGATTTGTAAGTTTTTTATATGGCCATAATGTAAGTTTTTTGGGGTCATGATTATGAAGCATTTGTAAGGTGGAAACACATTCTTAACTCACCCACCAAGAAACTAAGCCACAGAGACATGAACCAAGCCAATAGGACTTGGATAACACCAGTCTCAACCTCATCAAGTGAAAACCACAGATTCAAGCCAAACTAAACAGAAATAACGGTACAAAAAACCTTAATAAACCAAGATCTTATTCAACTAACAGAGCCACCAATTCAATGATTCATATGCAAATAAACCAGACCCGGGCTTAATAGTTAACTAAGCAGAACAGTTCAGACTCCAAAAAATGTGAAAGAAATAGGATTAAAGCATAATACCAGGCTTAATTCGCTGCCTCTATATCTCACCTCTAGCTCACAGCGAGCTCAGTGGCACAATGGGGGTGGGCTGGAGCGAGGAGAGGCGGTGACCGCAGCCGGCGTCGAGGTGAGGAGTGGGGGTTGGGACGCTCGATGGTGGTGGTTGTCGTGGATGACGAGGGGCTTTGGTGGAGGTTGGATTAGGGTGAGGCCGCGAATGCGACTTGGCCTTGCGGTGGCTCGACGAAGGGGACGACGAAGTGGGGTGCTCGAGAGTGGGGAGGCTGCAGCTAGGGTTCTGGTGAAGGAGGTGGGTGGCGGGTTATAGAGGAGGTTAGTGAAATTGAGGGAGACGAAGGAAGGAGTTAGGGAGCTTGAGTGAGGCGCGGATGCGGGGGTCATAGAAAGTAAGGCTTTCTACGTCGGTTATTCAGGGAACCGACGTAGAACGTAAGACTTTCTACGTCGGTTCCTAGGAACCGACGTAGAAAGCCTTACTATGATCGGCCAAACTGGTTCTGATCGGTCATAGGATGACTTTCTACGTCGGTTATTCTGGGAACCGACGTAGAAAGTCCTACTTTGTATGAGCAATTCTGATCGGTCATAACTTGTTCTGATCGGTCATAGGATAACTTTCTACGTCGGTTATTCAGTGAACCGACGTAGAAAGTCCTACTTTGTATAATACTTTCTATGTCGGTTAAAATTGATAACCGACATAGAAAGTCTTACTTTCTAACTTTCCATAACACCATTATCTATATCGGTTAACAGTACCCGTGATTGTATGTGTTATCAATGTCGGTTATGCTTATAACCGACATAAAATGTTCAACTTTCGACGTCGGGTTTGTCATTAACCGACGTAGAAAGTGTTATTTTTTTTTTTAAATATTTGCATTTTCTTTAGAGATGCTACCTTTCTTCGAGTAGACCTGCCTATTCATCACAATTCCAGACCAATAACTCTGCCTTCAAGTCAGAGTACACCTCATCTCGTATCTCCTTCCTAATTTGTTGTTTGAGGGACTCAAACTCTTGCTCATTCAGCTGCCTCAAAGAAGGAGTTGCCACGGGTGGGGCACCAAAGTACTGTCTGATGCCCACCCCTCGTCCAGCACCACGAACACGTCCAGGATGCTCTGGGGTACCAATGGCCACTGCCAATATATCCTGACGGCCATGTGGGTGGAATGATCCCTGAGTGCTCTGCTCAACCAACTCATCCTACAACACAAACGAATGATTTTTTAGCAAATACAAATGCCTATTGTAGTATAACATATATAATTAGTTTAGGATATGCTACTTACAATACGTTGAGCAACAACATTAGTTTGCTCAGATAAGTAATTCCCCGATGAGTTCTGGCGAGCTCTCTTCCATTTATCATGGCGTGAAGGGCGAGTGACAGCACTCACAACCGACTCATCTGAAAGATGACTTGAAGATGTCTCCTTCATCATCTTCTCCTCCAATTTCTCATAACCCCCACGAGACAACCTGTGGGGGTGGATATTCTTTCTCTCGAATATCTTGTGCCTTCTGCCGCTTGGCCTGTTGCATTCCATGTTAAATACCAGATTTAAAACCTCTATTTAAAAAAAATGACCGCAAACAAATGACAAATGTGCTAACATGAAACTTAGCGTCTAAACGCTGAGTCCGAAATGCCTGCCATGTCTCCTCATCCAAAAACTGATACTCGGTCACATGGGTTCTTGTTGCTCAATGCCCCATATATGTATCGGCTGGTCAGATCACTCTTAAAACCTCTCCAGACGTTCCCCAAGCATATGAGATCCACTTTCTCCTCAACAAAGTGGTGTTAGGGACATCATATGTGACCTACACAATAAAAATAACATGAAGTTCCCAAAAAGTTAAATATATATAAACATGTTAAATGCCAAATAAGAGTAGGTACCAGGATACTCGCCAAATCCAGTTCTTCGATGTCTCCGGAACATGGTCCCAATCCTCAATAAGAATACTAACCTTGCTTCTCCCAAGCAAGGCCACATAGCTAGTGAATCTAGCACTGTGCTCTCCAATGGCTCTACCAGTTTGCATGTCAAACTGGATAGGCAATTTCTGATCGGAGCTACGACCGATATTCAACTCCTTCAACCGTGTACCACGCCTACCCTTTTTCCTGGTAGACGGCTGACTCGATCACCACCTTCCGTAGGAGGGGGACTGTGTAGGAGGAGGGGAACCAGATGAATCTGCCATATCTGTGTTCAAAGAAAAAAATAATAGTTATTAGTTTAGACAATATGACTGAAGATAAACAAAAAAGTGCATACATTAAAAAATAATACATTAAAAAAATTTCATACATTATCAAGTTGGAACATTCTCCCAAAATCCTTCCATATGGTCATAACGTATGGCATGCACATCATCTATTTCTACATTAACACTAAAGTTTGGCATATTTGAAGAGAAACATGGTGTCTCGGGTATATCAAGTACTAAATCATCATTCTCATCAGAAGTATCACTACAAGAAATATTAAAATTACAGACGGTCAAAATCCGTCGGTAATAATAAAAATCCGTCGGTAAATGAATATTACCGACGGAATTCGACGACCAAAAATCCGTCTGAAATTAGCTTGTCAGTAAATATTACCGACGGATTTATCCGTCGGTAAATATGTTATGAAATTACCGACGGATTTATCCGTCGGTAATAATTTTATTAATTATTAAATATTTTACTTATTTATAACATTATTTTTTTTATAGAACCCCTCCCCCTTATATTCTTATTATTTATTATTAATTATTTCTCCATATTATATTTTTATAACTTTGAATTATTGTCGATTAAGAGAAATGTCATTGGCAGGATTCGAACCCAAGTACCTTAGAGTCGAGGCTGATACTCCAACCACTAAGCTACCAGAATTTCTTGATAACAATTTACAAATAAATTATATTTATATACAAATATACAAATACATTTATATATATTTATATATATTTATATACATTTATATATATTTATATATATTTATATATTTTTTTTATATATTTATATATATTTATATATATTTATATATATTTATATATATTTATATACATTTATATATATTTATATATATTTATATATATTTATATATATTTTTTTATATATTTATATATATTTATATATATTTATATATATTTATATATATTTATATACATTTATATATATATTTATATATATTTATATATATATTTATATATATATTTATATATATTTATATATATATTTATATATATTTATATATATTTATATATATTTATATATATTTATATATATTTATATATATTTATATATATTTATATATATTTGTATACATTTATATATATTTATATATATATATATATATATATATTTATATATTTTTATATTTTATATTTATATATTTTTATATTTTTATATATTTTTATATTTTTATATATTTATATATATATATATATTTATATATATTTATATATAATTAAATATTTATTTTTAAAATTACTTAATTTAATAAATTATTATAAATTAATCTAATTATGATTAAATTAAATTATTAAATAAAAAATATTTTATTTTTTAATTAGTGAATAATTAAATTATATTATATAATTTTACCGACGGATTTATCCGTTCGGTAAATAATTTTTAATTTACATATGAATTTACCGACGGATATATCCGTCGATAATTACTTGTTAATTTATCGATGGATTTACCGACGGATATATCCGTCGGTAAATTCATCTATAAATTACCGACGGATTTATCGACGGATATATCCGTCGGTAACTAATAATTATTTTACCGACGGATATATCCGTCGGTAACATCAAATTTCACAAATATTTTATATCCGTCGGTAATTTCCGTCGGTAATGATTATTTTCCGACGGCTACAATTCCGTCGGTAAATATCCGTCGGTAATACGCGATTTTCTTGTAGTGTATACATGGGTTTTCAAAATCAAATTAGCTACAGAAACACGAAATAACTACATTATAATGCCTACACGAAATCCAACTCCACTCTCAAAATAACTACATTATAATACAAATCTAATTTTCAAAATCAAAATCACGAAACACATTCAAATGCCTACAGAAACACATTCAAATGACTAAACTACTTACAATACATCTCTAAATTAGCTAAAGGGACCCGTGATGTTTCCCTCTCTTGACAGCATTATTACTTACTAGATTCAATACTGTAAACATACAATGGCTAAAGCAAGCACGAAAACTTACCTCTTGAAGACCTACAGAGGTGGCAGGTGGCGTGACGTGCAGAGCTGGGTGGGGAGAAACGTATCCCAGGCGACGGGCACCAGTAGCAGCAGGCGGCACGAAGCGTTGGCAGGTGGCGTGACGAGCAAATGTGGGTGCGGAGAAACGTACACAGGCGAACGGGGAGCTCTGCTATGGGTGAACTGATGAAAAGAAATGGAGCGTAGGGAGAAACGTACAGGGGAGCTCTGCTATGGGGGAAGTGATGAAATGAAATGGAGGGAAGGAGAAGGTTAAAACAGAAGATACTATGTCGGTTGCTCTAACACCCGTCATCAAAGACACTTTCTATGTCGGTTAAATTTTACCCGACATAGAAAGTTCACTTTCTATGTCGGTTAAATATTACCCGACATAGAAAGTTTACTTTCTATGTCGGGTAAATCTTAACCGACGTAGAAAGTAAAGTGACCTTTCCACTTACTATGTCGGTTAAAACTTACCCGACATAGAAAGTTTATGATTTTATTACATACATGCCACCGCGCCACATACTATGACGGGTGGACTACGACCGTGATAAAAAGCCGTCATAGAAAGCTATTTTCCACTAGTGAGCGAGGGTTTTTTCTTTTTTTCTTTTTTTTTATTTAGCATCCGTAGGTAAATGAGTAGGTAAAGTAGTAAAAAAACATTACCTACCTCCTACATCCGTAGGTAATGCATAATCATCCCATCCGTAGGTAAATTCCGTAGGTAATAGATAATTTATGTACGAATATACTTTTGTAGGTAAAATCCGTAGGTAATGTAAAATTTACCTACGGATTTTTACCCGTAGGTCTTATTCCGTAGGTAATAGGCTTTTTTCTTGTAGTGAATGTTGTCTCATTTCATACTTGTTTTTCTCAATTACTTTGCAACTTTTTTTATTCCTATCATTTCATTTTATTCTTCTCTTTATATATTTATAATAATATAAAATGTAAAGTGTTTTTAAAAGTTATAATATATATATATATATATATATATATATATATATATATATATATATATATATATATAAAAGAACTTCTAAAAAT